TTTTCACAAACCCCCCCCCCCCCCCCCCGGGGCATGCATGCCTGGGTTCTTTTGGTTCTCTTGTGAGAGTTTTGGTTCATTAAGGATCCTCGATAACCTGTAGAGGCCTGACAAATGAGGGGAGAACTTTCTTGAGTTACTCCATTCGGAACATTGGGCGAAGTTGATACCTGTGTCATTTGTATGGTTCCCATCTCATTGTCCATCCTTTGATTTCTTATATGAGCTTCACTAGCTATGTCCAATTATGCGATTTCGTACTTATTGGCAAATTCTTGAGTTTATCAAGTTGACATTTGGTTCACTACGTTGCCGTCTGATACTTACGCTTTGATTGTTTTGATTATGTGCTCTGTAAAAGTTTTATATTCTTCGAATGGATCTGACAATGAACCATATATGGGGTTTTCCAGCATGCGGGGTTGAGGAAAATGATTTATGTAGTTTTGACTTCAAATTTATGGCAAATAAAGCAGAGTTTATTGTTTGTGCTACTGCTATGTAATTCCATATTGATGGACAATACTCTCTTTTAATCTAGTCGTAGGGTCTCTATGTTTTTGCCCCATCTTATTATGGCTAGCGAAGTTCTCCTCATATGTTTCTCCTATATTGTTCTAACACAGATGAATGCTTCGAAGATAGTGTGTGTTCGTGACTGCCAAAATCTTACACGGCACAACAATCCATGTCTTGTTCTTCACAAACGTGGGGTTGGTTACATCTATCCTTTGCTGTTACTCTATTTAGTTCATTGTTAGATCTAATGGAACGAGGAAGATCTAAAGTAACAAATGACGTTAGTTTTCTATTCTTTTCCTCGTCTAACGTATTGACTCAGATAGTATCATTCTTATGAATGGAGCATATTCATTTAGAATCCGAACACCAGTTGGATACACTATTTCGATCCAAAAAATTGGGGAGAATTTTCTTTGAAGCGGTATATTTTATGTAAATCGTTACTTGGGCAATTGCATTTATTTATTGGAATAATGTATTTTGGAATGCAATTTTGTTCAATAGCAAATGGTTATTGTGGTATTTGTCCGTAATAGTTTATCGGTGCATATCCCTTGACTGTTACAAAGTATTCGGCTTTAAGTTGCTGGTTATGGCACTTGTCAGTAATAGGCTATACGCGAAAGCTATGCATATTTTTAGGGAAAATTACATCAGCAGTCCAACGATGTCTCGAATTCAGTCTGATTCCTGGCTTCTACGCTTTCCACCCAGTTGAGAGACGCGGTGAGCAAGCGCGTGCAGTTAACATTTGTGCCACCAAACCTCCCAATCAACAAACCAAAAAAACCCTTTCACCATCTCCGTTTCTTCAGCTCCCAAGCGCATATCTAACCCTATCAGAAGAGGAGTTCTACTAAAAATAACAATAAAACAAAACCCTCAATGTCGGCTCAATTAGAGCTCTTTAGATCTAGTTTTGTGAGAAAATTGTGGAAATATTCTTCGCAGCTAAAATGGGGGCCCAATTAATTGATTCTTCAAATGTGCTGAAGTTTCTTCAAATACATCTGTGGCATATGCTCCAATTAACTGATTCTTCAAATAAATTTTTCATACCTTAGCTTTTAAAAAATCCAAAAGATATACATTTAAAAAATTAAAAAGTTATGGGTGCAATTATTCCAAGAGTTGGGTTCTGCTTTGAATACAATTGATCTTGGAGATGGAGGTTTATAATCTTGAAATTGGGTTTGTGTTGTGTCTGGGTCGGTGTCGGTTGTTATGGCGGCAATAGCACAATATAGCATTGAGAAGATGAATTTTATGTTTGTTTTTGGTTTCTGGAGACGGTGCTTAGTGCAATGCGACGAGGCCATCGTGGCGACGGTGGTTTTGTGGTGCAGCAGCGTAGAGACGATGACGGTGGTCAACAACTACTGGGTTCTAATTTATTTTGGCATAGGGTGTGGAGAAGATGAAGGTAGGGTGGGATTTATGCGTCGGCGGGGTGTGGGCTGATTTTTTTTTTTTTTTTTAAATTGTTAATATCTGAGAAAATGTAGATGTACTATTTTACCCTTTTTAGTTTGGTCAAAATTGTTCAAGTTTTTATTTTCTTGATCAACTAACAATTAAATGGATGGTTTCATAGATTCGAACTCTAGGGTGCTAATTTTTTTAAAGGTTTGGGATCTTTAGTGGCACAAATTAAAGTTTAATATAAAGTTTGCAAAAAATTCAAAGGTTTGGAAATGTTGCTACATTTTTCCTATTTTTAATAATTTTAAAATTTATAATATTTATTATTTTTGCCATTCTATTTGATTCATTATTATATTTGTATGGTTCATCATTAAGCCCACGTTTGTTTCTCATTATTTGTCTATTAAAATGAAAAATATGATCCTTATCCATCGCATCAAACCATCAATTTGACTTTCTATATTTTTTATTCTCATTTTTTTATTAATGTGTACTAAACGGGGCCTAAGATTTGTGGTTTTGATTTTTCTCTCTTTAGACTACTCTCAACAATAGTTTTATATAAATGTTGATATTATTTTGATCAAGACAAATGAGCATCGCCATTTTAATGAGTTTTTTTGGGAAAATGTGTTTTGAAATAGTAATTTTTTTAAGACTGTGTGGTTAAAAAGTAATAAAATTTTTGAATTTGAAAAAAAATAAATGAGTGGTTTAATTGAGCCCAAATAAAGACACAATGTCTGACATTAGGTACATTCGAAACATTAAAATATGTTAAGGTAACTTATTATAAGTTGATTACTACGATCTAGAGACCGAATTAAAGTGAGATAATAATAGTTTTTTTTTTACCTTGTAAGATTTGAACAATGATATGTTGCTGGACTGTAAAAATATTTTTATATACGAAGTTAAATACTTGATTCAAACTAATGTAGCAAGTAAATAGAAGTAAAAATAATTTTTCATTTTTAAGATAATGAAATATGTTTTGACATACAGAATATTAAGATTTGATGTTCAATTATAAAATATCAGCCTTTTCTTTATAGAGAGAGTTCAAGTCCTTGTATTTTTGATTATATGTTTATTTCTATTTAATATGAGATTAATTTAATAAAATTGTATATTTAACAAAATGTCCATACAAGATGGTGACTTGTTTGAGAAGATCAATTTTCAAATTCGTATGTTTATTTTAGTCTTAATTAGATCGATTTTTTCGAGTTTAATGAGTTTCAATACCATATTAAAATTTTAGATTCCATCTTCAAATGTTAATTTTTTTTCAAAAGGAATGATCAAAATCCTTCCGATTTTATTCTAAAAACTATCCCTGTACCTATTGTTGCACGATAATGTTTGATTTATATCATAATGAAAATATAATTTTGTACTTACATTGGAAAGAAAAATGCTATCTGAAAGTCTCATTTTACTGCACGTGACACAAATACGATGCTTTTCAAATTAATTTAAGCTCTTGTTCGGGTAAGACACTGATAAATAATTTATATTAAATACACATTTCTTTAATTTTTACTATTTTTTGAATAATATATTTTATCAATTTTTATTAAAATTTATTAATAATATGATTTTTAGTTAAATCAAATTAAGGATAATTATCGGAGTGAACACTAGAGTTTATGACCTTATGTCCTTATTTGAATTCCATTCTTTGAAGAAAAAAAAATGCATACTTAAATAATATTTTGATATCATTTCAATTACACATTCTTTAATAAAATAATATTACAAGTAAATTTAAATTATTTCTTTGATTTTTAATTATACATTTCATATCAATACGCTATTTAAAAATGTATTTTTATGATAAAAATAGGTTCAAATAAGCCGCTTACCGTGCTCAAGCCAAAGCATTTAACCCGACAATCTCCACCGTTGAATATACTGACTAATCAACGGATATGATCCACGATCCTCGTCTCTTAAAACCCACCAATTACCCTCAAGTAGAAAATTCTATATAACCAGCACCTTACCCCACTGTTATTATTCATTCAACAAAAAATCCCTAATCTTCGAAGAAAGGAAGAGAAGAAATGGCACCAAAGGCGGAGAAGAAACCAGCTGAGAAGAAGCCTGCCTCCGAGAAAACTCCGGCAGCTGAGAAGGCTCCGGCTGAGAAGAAGCCGAAGGCCGGAAAGAAATTGCCCAAAGAAAGTGGCGCCGCGGCAGGAGACAAGAAGAAGAAGCGCACGAAGAAGAGCATTGAGACCTACAAGATCTACATCTTCAAGGTGCTGAAACAGGTCCATCCTGATATCGGGATTTCCAGCAAGGCTATGGGTATCATGAACAGCTTCATCAATGATATATTTGAGAAATTGGCTCAGGAGGCTTCTAGGCTCGCCAGGTATAACAAGAAGCCCACCATCACTTCTCGGGAGATCCAGACTGCTGTGAGATTGGTTCTGCCTGGAGAGCTGGCTAAGCACGCTGTTTCTGAAGGGACTAAGGCGGTGACTAAATTCACTAGCTCTTGAATGAATTTTAGGGTTTCTTGTCATAGTTTAGAAATTAGGTCTATTTTGGTTTAGTTTGCGTTTATTAGTGTAGTAGAGAAGTCCTTTTGCTGTTCTTGAACTGAAGCTTCTGTAATTTTTCAAATACAGTGATCTGTCAATGAAAAAGCCAAAGCATTTAACCCGACAATCTCCACCGTTGAATATACTGACTAATCAGCGGATATGATCCACGATCCTCGTCTCTTAAAACCCACCAATTACCCTCAAGTAGAAAATTCTATATAACCAGCACCTTACCCCACTGTTATTATTCATTCAACAAAAAATCCCTAATCTTCGAAGAAAGGAAGAGAAGAAATGGCACCAAAGGCGGAGAAGAAACCAGCTGAGAAGAAGCCTGCCTCCGAGAAAACTCCGGCAGCTGAGAAGGCTCCGGCTGAGAAGAAGCCGAAGGCCGGAAAGAAATTGCCCAAAGAAAGTGGCGCCGCGGCAGGAGACAAGAAGAAGAAGCGCACGAAGAAGAGCATTGAGACCTACAAGATCTACATCTTCAAGGTGCTGAAACAGGTCCATCCTGATATCGGGATTTCCAGCAAGGCTATGGGTATCATGAACAGCTTCATCAATGATATATTTGAGAAATTGGCTCAGGAGGCTTCTAGGCTCGCCAGGTATAACAAGAAGCCCACCATCACTTCTCGGGAGATCCAGACTGCTGTGAGATTGGTTCTGCCTGGAGAGCTGGCTAAGCACGCTGTTTCTGAAGGGACTAAGGCGGTGACTAAATTCACTAGCTCTTGAATGAATTTTAGGGTTTCTTGTCATAGTTTAGAAATTAGGTCTATTTTGGTTTAGTTTGCGTTTATTAGTGTAGTAGAGAAGTCCTTTTGCTGTTCTTGAACTGAAGCTTCTGTAATTTTTCAAATACAGTGATCTGTCAATGAAATTCAAATCCGTCGTTATTATATGTGTTTGGTTCATGACTTGTTAGGGCATCTTTTTCCTATCAAAACCAGTAATAATAGAAATTATAGAAGATTCAAGTTCAAAAATTGATAGAATTCTAGCGTTTGGTATGGGTTATTGTGCCTTATAGATGATTCTTGGTTGATGAAAGCAGTTTTTATTGGTCTAGCAACTTTACCACACAACGAAATTCTTATTCTGTTATACGAAATTAGTGAATTAGTATGTCTTTATATTGACACTTTGTCGTCATTTGACTCTTTTAGTTCTTGTCTGTGAAGAGGTTGGTGCTTTTGGATGGGAAGTTTCTTCATGTGCCCGTTTATATGTACCACCATCAATGTATGTTTCAAGTCGCTATTAGAAAGCGTGAAACCTGGCCTAAGGTAGTGGGTGATTGTTTTAGAACTCTTATTTTGAAGTCTACATGTATATGAAATCGCTTTCATATATAGTTTCTCAGCTTCAGAGCTCACGAATTATCATTTTGCCGAATGACAAAATTGCAGGGTAAGCATCCTCTGATGAGGATTTGTTTGAACTGTGAGATGCTAATAATTTGTTCTGATGCGATGGACTCTTGCTGTGCAAACTTACGTACATAATTCAAGTGAATCCCATTAATTTTCCTTGCAACTTGTTCAAAATGGCGAATTTGCAATGTGGCAGATGTGCAAACTTTACACAACGAATTTAACTCATGATTTTGTCCAAGATGATCCGGGTAATAGATATGAAGTTGCCAATTTTAAGTTCATTTGTTTGTTACTATTCTATTGTTTGCAGGTACGTATATTGATGATGTTTCATTTCACTTATAAATTGATACCATTGCTATAGCTGAAATCTTCACATTTCATTTTAGGTCAAATTTCAATAATTTTAGGTCATACTCCATCTAATTAAAGCTTCTGGTTCTATTATTTAATTTGTTCAACTGTCGTACTTCTTGACTTTCTCTTAATTCCTATATACGCCCCCATACATCTCTTGCGATCAACCTGATGAAGACAATAAAATCAACCAAGGAAGACAATAAAGTAATGTTGTTACATTTCCACATCAAAGTGAAATACAGTGCTCTCGAAACTTATGTTGCTGTCCTGCAGGGGCAGAGAATCTGTCGCTGTCTCAGTCATGCTATTGGAAACATTCTGTTTGTGTGTCTTTTCTAGGATTTGTTGGTGCAGGTTAGGTGTTTCTCTTGTTGGGTTTTGGTCTACTGGACGGTAACACAGTTCAATATTGATAGGCATATAAGGCGTCACTCTTGTAGAATAAAACTTGCCTTCACAATTTCTTTTCTCAATATATTTTTCCTCTCTGGAAAAGGAATCTGTCTCCTTGAGAAACAAACATATGTGGATGGCTTGAAAAAAGAAATATTTTTGGTAGATCCAGTCATCAAAACTGTGATTACTTCACGGGAGAGAAGACAAGGGATAAGCGATGATCAACCTACCTAAGTTTTGTGCTAGTTTCTAGTGGCTTTCATTTGTTCTGCCCTTAATATCTCTCTGCTTGAGTTTCCAGTACATAGAGATTATAAGGTATCTTCAACGGCAAGGTTGGATTTATCTTTTCTAGTGACAAAACACTCCTGCAAGTCTTGTGGTAATGCTTCCATTAGAAAGTAAGAATGTTAGTTGGGTACAGTCTTTCTTTCCATCCAAATAGTGGGGGGTTGCTGTTTCAGAGGAAGAATTTGAGCAAGTAGAGAGATTATAGAGTTTACTTGTTTAACAATCAGGTGGTGAATACCATCTGTGTTTAGAATTCCAGTAATATTTTATCAGTCAAACTCGATTGTAACTCAAACAGTGACTAGAGTTAGTAATGGGCTATTGGTGCACATTTTGAGCAGAATGATTTCTGTATTTCGTTATGAATTTTTAAGCATGTAATAAGCTTCGTCAACTGGTGACACGGGCTTGCTGTAGTTGCAATAAATACAAGAAGTGTAGACCAAAGTGAGAATTTTAGTAATAATCTCTGCACAACTATATAGCTTGATCTCACACGATCACTTATACTGTTCTGCTGTAAGTGTTTTAATGTCCTTGTATTCACACTCTTATATTAGATTACTTCTAAAGACTAGAAGCATTCCATCTTGACTTCTTACTAGGGGTACCCCCAATTTGGAAACAAAATTGTTATGATTAACCGATATTTCTCCTTACCTTAACACCAGTAACCATAGTTTGATCGAATTTCATCATCTTATCGCATGGTGTATAATGAGGTACGAGACTCGCTGCTTTCTATTTTTCCTTTTGTCCTCCCATAACCTGCGTTTTGCTGTCTTGCAGTTTGTATGATAGATATTCTTCTTCAGTTGAAGTGGGGAAACCATTATAAGAATAAACCTTAGGGGAGTAGAAGCCTCATTCTTTCGGACGTTTGGCTCTTGGGCCCCCCTTTTTTTTACTTTGGCATGCAAGTCCCGAAGTTTATATTTTGTAGCAAATGGGTCCTTTTTGACGTCTTTTGTCACCCTTCAATACTTTGATTTCAGGAAAGAGACGAAGTTGAATCACTTAACTCATTTGGCACATTGTTATGAGAATCAGTCTTCTATCATTTTCGTCTTATGGGATGGGGCATGTGCTTTCGCATATACGC